CGTACAAAAACATAAAAAGTGTCCGAAAAAAATAAAAATTATAATTTTAAAAACATTTAAAAACATTTAAAAAATACAGAGGCTGTGACAGTGAAATTGATATTTTTAAAGAGAATAAGCAATCTTGAACAGATGGGTTTTGAGTTGTATTTTAAAATGGAGAATTGAGTCCGTATTTCGAAGTTGGGGTGGTAGAGAGTTCCAGAGGCGGGGGGCAGAGCGGCTGAATGCCCTCCTCCCCATGGTGGTGAGACGGGCGGAGGGGACAGACAGGTGCAAAGCAGATGAGGATCTAAGAGCACGGGAGGGGGTGGGAACATGCAGGAGGTCTGACAGATATGGGGGGGCAAGGTGGTGAAGTGCCTTGAAGGTCATCATGATAATTTTATATTGAATGCGGAACTGTATGGGGAGCCAGTGGAGCTGTCGGAGGACCGGAGTGATGTGGTGGATAGAGGGAGTTCTTGTTATGATTCGAGCAGCTGAGTTCTGGACCAGTTGTAGTTTGTGGAGTGATTTCTGAGGAAGTCCAAAGAGGAGGGAGTTGCAGTAATCTAGTCGGGAGGTGACAAGGCTGTGCACAAGTATGGCAGTAGTGTGTGGGGTAAGGGAGGGACGGAGGCGGTTGATGTTTCTTAAGTGGAAGTAGGCAGACCGGGTAATGTTATTTATATGGGATTGGAAAGATAGTGTGCCATCGAGGATGACACCCAGACTCTTAACCTGGGGGGAGGGGGAGCTATCAATAGTGACTTGGAAACTGTCGGTTTTGGAAAGAGTTGATTTGGTACCAATGAGGAGAACCTCGGGTTTACTACTGTTTAATTGAAGGAAGTTGTTGGTGAACCAGGCCTTTAATTCACAGATGCAATTTGTGAGGGAGGCGGGCGGAAGAGAGGACGATGGTTGCGTGGTGAGGTAGAGCTGGGTGTCATCGGCATAGCAATGGAAGTGGATGTTGAATTTACGGAAGATATTGCCAAGTGGAAGGAGGTAGATGATGAAGAGCAGGGGCCCCAGAACAGAGCCCTGGGGCACATCTGAGGTGACGGGGGAGGGGGTGGATTTGAGGGTCTTCAGTTGAATGAACTGAGTGCGGTCAGAAAAATAAGAAATAAACCACTCCAACGGAGTGCTCGTGATGCCAATGGAAGAAAGCCTACTGAGGAGGGTGGTGTGACAGATGGTGTCGAAGGCTGCACTCAGGTCGAGGAGGATGAAGATGGTGAGTAGTCCAGAATCAGATGCCATGAGGAGGTCATTGGTGATTTTGATGAGTGCTGTTTCAGTGCTATGGAGTGGCCGGAAACCAGACTGAAATTCTTCATACAGGCTGTTGGCAGATAGGCGAGAATGGAGCTGGGAGGCAACTGTTTTTTCAAGAATTTTGGAGATGAAGGGTAAATTGGAGATAGGACGGAGCTTGTTGAAGTTGGTGGGGTCGGCACCAGGTTTTTTACAATCGGGGTGATGGCAGCAGTTTTGAGAGGTGTAGGGACAGTTCCAGTGGTGAGGGAGGAGTGGATGATAGCGGAGATGAGGGGAGCCAGAGAGGGAAGGCAGGTTTTGACAAGTTGTGTTGGGAGGGGGTCCAGTTGACAGGTGGATGATTTGGATTTCCGGATGAGCTCTGTGATTTCTGAGACAGTAGGAGGATGGAAGGAGGAGAATAAATGTGTAGGCGGGGGGAGATCTGCTGAGTTGTTGAGATGAGCCGTTGATCCAAGGTTCTGGTGAATGTTCTTGATTTTTTCTGTGAAGTATGACAGGATGTCATTGCAGAAGGAGGTTGTGTAAAGGTGCAGGGGGAAAGGGTCCTGGGGTTTGATAGTATTGTTAAGTATAGAGAAAAGTGACTTAGAGCTCTGTTGATTGGCAGTGATTAAGTTGGAGTAGTACTGTGATTTGGTGCTGGCAATGGAGTCCTTATAGTGCATAATGTGATTATTGTACATTTCTTTGTGTATAGTAAGACCAGTTTTTCTGTAAAGTCTTTCAAGTTGCCGTCCTTTGGTTTTCATGCTTCTGAGATTTGGGGTGTACCAGGGGGAGGAGACGGAGAAAGAAACAAATCTATTTTTTAGAGGAGCAAGTGAGTCAAGAATATTATGGAGACCAGTGTTGTAGTGAAAAACCAGATCATCAGGGGTTAGCAGATTATTGAAGTCAAGGAGGCAGGATGAGTGGATACTTGAAATAAGGGTGGAGGGATCAATTTTCTTTATGTTCCGGAAGGATATGAAGCGGGATATTTTAGAGACTGAGAGAGTAAGATTAACTGCAAATGAGAGGAGAAAATGGTCACTTATGGGGAGTTCATCAGATGTTATGTTGTGGGGGATGACACCAGAGCAACAGATTAAAGAAGGCATCTCTTCTATAATTAGTTAGACACAATCTGGCTTTCTGAAAGGAAGGTCAATTCATAATAATATTAGACTTGTATTAGATCTGCTTGATTATAGTGACATGGTTCAAGAATATGGGTTTATTTTATTTCTTGATTTTTATAAAGCATTTGATTCTGTTGAACACCCTTTCATTTTAAAAACTTTAGATCATTTTGGTTTTGGAAGAAAATTTATAGATATAATTGGAATGTTATATAATGGGATTAATAGCTCAGTAGCTTTAGGTCATGGCACCTGCTCTAGATTTGAGATTAGGAGGGGAATTCGTCAGGGCTGCAGCACATCACCATTATTGTTTATAATGGTTGCTGAAATTTTATCTATCCTATAATGGTTGCTAAAATTTTATCTATCCTATAATGGTTGCTAAAATTTTATCTATCCTAATCAAAACCAGCAACATTGAAGAGTTGAAAGTTATGGACAGACAAATTATAATAAGTCAGCTAGCAGATGACACAACTTTATTCCTAAAAAAATGAAGATCAAATTCCCTTAGCATTACATTATATTAATCAATTCTCAAAAGCTTCTGGTCTGCAGATAAATTTGAATAAATGTGAAATCTTGACATTACATGATTATTATCTACATTCCCTATATAACAAAGGTAAAAAAAGAAGTAAAATATTTGGGGATTATTATCTCTAAAGATAAAAATGCAATTGAAAATAGGAATGTTTGTAACAATGTGGACAAGTGTATATCAATCTTAAATAGATGGCTCCAGAGAGATATCTCAATATTTGGAAGAGTTCTGTTATCAAAAATGGATAGTCTGTCTAGACTAATTTACCCTGCCTTTTCCCTACCCATTTCAGCTAGGACAATTAAAAAAATAAATACTGTTAATTACAAGTTCATATGGAGGAACAGATGTCAATATATAAGAAAGATAGATATGATAAAAAGTTATGAAGATGGTGGGTTGAATGCGATTGATTTTGATATTATGAACGGCGTTTTGAAACTGAAGTGGTTAAAATCTTACCTTGCAGATAGAAATTCTTTTTGGTTCATTGTCCCCAATATGATTTTTTTAAAAATGGGTGGTGTAGACTTTCTTTTGCGATGTGACTTTGAATGTAGCTCATTACCTGTCAAACTGTCTGCCTTCCATCAGCAAGTCCTCCTCTATTGGAAGTTACTTTTTTGTCATAACTTCACACCACACAATACACCAGTTTGGAATAACAGGTACATATTGCTCAATAGAAAATCTGTTTATTTAGAGGAATAGAGATCCAAAGGTGTATGGGCTGTTGCACATTTTATGGATGACTCTGGAAACTTGTTACAACATGAGGATTTCTGTGAAAAATTCCAACTTCACTGTAATGTTAAATATTATAAGAGAGTTTTAAAAGTGATACCAATTTCTGTGATATCAATGGTTAGAGAAGATACTCGATACTCTGCAGTCTCCCCTGAACTGAGACAGCTTTACATTGATGGATCAAACTTCTGTGATTTCAAATGCACCAACAAGGTTATTAGGAATGCTTTAATAAAAGAATATTATCCTAACCCAGTTAAAAGAATGTACATACTGAAGGAGTTTGAAATAGAAAAAATTAAGAAAATAAGAAAAAACTATGTTACATTTCCTCTCCCACCTAAAGTGAAAGGTCAACTTCAAAATTTTGAATGAAATCTTCCCAGTGAACAAATATCTGAGATTAAGATTTAATATTGATCGGCATAACTGCGTTTTTTGTGAAGAGAATGTGGAAACTTTAGAACATCTCTTTTTTTATTGTAATGCTGTGCAGCTTTTTTGGAAAGAGATGCAAAGTTGGCTACTATCCAAAGAAATTATATTGCCTTTGTCTGTGAAGTCTATTTTTTTGGTGTTTTTGTTGAAAATAAGAATGTAGACTTCATACTCAACACTCTTTTGTTATTTGGAAAGTTCTTCATTCACAAGTGCAGATATTTTAAGACCAAACCTGGTATGACTCATTGGAGAAATGAGCTGAATCTTTTCAGTAAATCTCTTAGACTTGTTGAAGAAAAGAAAGCCCTTAAATCATTTTCTTTACTCGAAGCATTTAATTTAATTTGAAATGGCCCCTGAAATGTATGTTTTTATTTTCATCTCATTTTAGTTTACAATCCTGTTGTATTAGTTTCATACTTTTTTTTTTATGTTGAACATGCTGAATCCATGATAAAAAAAAAAAAATCACAGGTGTGAATTCATTGTATGCCTTGTATGTTTATATTTACATTCATAAATAAATTTAAAAAAAAAATAAAGTTTTCTCTCGCTGTTTGTTACTGTAAAGTCTGTAATACGGGTGCACTTAAAATGTTGGGCCGGCTTTCTCCAATTGCAGTAAACTCTGAGCGAAGAAGAGGTTTAACCGGAGCAAATAACTGTCGAATATCCAACTTAAACTTAACTTGACCACAGTCATTAAAACCCAATGCTGTAAGTGAGCGAACTGACCGCAGTAAGATCGCCGCCGCGGAAGTCAGCTTTAGCTTAGCATATCGATCTCCTCTAATCAGCTTTCCAATCAGATCATGAGGCTAAAATCCACAGTGTGCATCATCAGGGAAGCGTTTCTATCAGGTGTTTCCTACCTATCCGGTGTGAGATGATCTGGGGGATCCTGGTGAAATCCAGCAGTAGATGTAGTTCGTCCATCTTTTCCTCCGAATTGACCAAACTCCCTTTGAACTCTGTGAATGTTTCTTCAGCAGGAGTTAACTGCTCGGTGATAAACTCTCCTTGAAGCTGGACTGAAGACATTCTCACTGCAAACACTCCCGTATTATCAGCCTCTCTACAATGACTCCACACACAAGCTAAGCTAATGCTGCTAATGCTACCCGATCCCTACCAGCAGCTCATTGCGCATGCGCACCATCATCTACATCCGGGTCACCCTCGATTTTATTTTGTAAAAAAATTTACTAAATTACGTTTTTCCTTCCTTAAAAACAGTAAGCGCACCAAACTATAATGTTTTAACGGTCAGTAATATATTTTATGAGGAAAGAAATGCATTAAAATCGTTTCTGTTTTATCACTGTTTTTTGTTTGTCTTTTTATTTTCTCCACAAAAAACTTTATTTAACAACTGTATAAAAAATCGGTATCAGAACAGAACTGCATAAACAGCATTCACAGAAAGTGTTTATCTTAATATAGAAGAAAACCAAAGATAAAAAGAGAGGGAACAATTATAAAAATAATATTAAAGTGACATTATTTTATACATACAGGTGCTGGTCATAAAATTTTTCCTCCATGGTATCCCTGTTCTTAATTGGCCAGCAAACTCTCCTGACCTTAACCCCATAGAAAATCTATGGGGTATTGTGAAGAAGAAGATGCAATACACCAGACCCAACAATTCAGAAGAGCTAAAAGCCACTATTAGAGCAACCTGGGCTATCATAACACCTGAGCAGTGCCACAGACTGATCGACTCCATGCCACGCCGCATTGCTGCAGTAATACAGGCCAAAGGAGGCCCAACTAAATACTGAGTGCTGTACATGCTCACACTTTTCATGTTCATACTTTTCAGTTGGCCAACATTTCTATAAATCCTTTGTTTTTATTGGTCTTCAGTAATATTCTAATTTTCTGATATGATGAATTTGAGATTTTCATTTGTTGTCATTTGTAATCATCAAAATTAAACAAAATAAACATCTGAAATATATGAGTTTGTATGTAATGTATGAATATAATATACAAGTTTCACTTTTTAAATGGAATTACTGAAATCAATCTACTTTTTCATGATATTCTAATTTTATGACCAGCACCTGTAGAATCAAGAACAGGGCATTAAACCAGCAGATTAAATTTACTCACAAAAGTGAGAAAATTACCAGCACTTTTGGTTCATACAAATTCTAAAGATGTTTTATTTTTCCAATGGGATATAAATGCTTGTATTTGAAAAAAAAATGGCATTTGTGTAAATACATTTTACAAATAAAATTAAAATATTAGCACTAGCACCATCACTACAGACTTTGGACTACACTGGAAAAAGTGAAACCTTGCAATGTTTGTTCAGCTCTGGATATAGCCCGGTTGAACGAGCGAGGGCTTTTGGCTAGCTAATGTTAGTGATTCATTGTCATAACGTGATTGGTAAATGCATAAACCCTCTTAGACATCAGCTAGCTAATAATAATTAGTTAACAAGCAGCTATAACATTGATTATATGCAACTGCTTGACTACTTGGGTTAATTATGGATGAAATCCACCCAGGATGTAGAGACGAGGAAAATGGCGCTCTCTCAGGGTCTGGGACTTGGACTTAATCTGACTACGTGCAAAGAGAAATTCACATGTGACTCAGACAAAAAAATTACCTGCAGGTCATGAATAATTACATACATATGGAGAGAAATCAAAAACTTTGTTTTGGGTCCTTTGTATGTGTATTTAGTTTAGGTTAAATCAAAATCCAAACAGAATGAGTTCCACAATCAAATCAATACTTTTATCCAGTTTAGAGTGACAGTCATTAGTTTGAATGAACAGCTACATCTTACATTTTTTCAGTGTACCTGGATTCTGCCTGCTGCTGACCTTTGACCTGTCTTCTCACCACGGCTTGGATTACCAGGGGCGGAGCTAGATGGGGGGCCAGGGGTGGCCATGGCCACCCTTAACCAATCATTGGCTACCCCTGTGGCCACCCCTACCATTTATTTCCTCTAATACAGACAGTAGCAGCAGTAATACTCTCAAGTGGAATATTCAAAACATTTTAATTTTTCATATAGTAACAATTACTTGACAACAAAAACCCTGTGGTTAATTATGCTCATCAATATACTGACATTAAAGATGATAAATGCAGTATTCATGCTCTTTTCAGAAGTAGATTTTTAGTTATATGGGCTAAAGGGAGAATAATGTGTCTCTGCAAGCCATCTAGGAGTCTTTAGTGAAATCCTAGATAAAAAGTATTTTAATAAAAACATATTAAATAATCAATAATGTAGATAATAGTACATGTGAATATAAAATTTTATGCCGAAAGATTATTGATAAAAGTAGGTAAGTAATGACGATGGAAAAGATGTTGGCCCTAGAACTCAAACCTGAAAGTATTTTATCCACTATACCTTCTATCAAGAAAGCATGGATGTCTAAATATATACGTCTATTTGTTAGCTAAGGCTGTAGGAAAGTATAGTTAGTCTTTATTTTGAAAATATGGATGTTGTGCTCGTTAATTTTCCTGTTGGAACAGTGTAGATTGACCCTGGGGTTCTGGTGCCAATCCACTTTCGAGCCACCCCTCAGCCTACATTGGTTATGTCCTGGCCACCCTTCTAAAAATTTACTGGCTCCGCCTCTGAGGATTACCCTCCTGGATCTTTTGGTTCCCATGCATGATCTGGCTGCTAAAGCACTGAGAAATATAATGCAAACGTTTTTGGCATTTACTTAATCATATTTGGTTACTTTAACATTATGGTTTCATATTAGCCCGGTAAGACATGAAACAATTTTGTTAAAGTGAGCAAATATGAAGTAAAGGCCAAAAGTGGATGCATTATTTTTTTTAGCAAGGATGCTGCTCCTCTTCTCTCCTGGATGTCTGCTGTCGGCTCAGTAAAGATCAAAGAAGTTCCGCTCCTCTGGACATCACTCCTTCTGGGCACAGACTGAACTTTGCCGGGTCGCAAAGTTCAGTTTCCAGTGAGCCCACAGCAGCAGACGAGCAGCCGCACAATGCAACGATAAACGCTCTTTTTAATAAATCACTGTCCCGCCTGAATTTTGGGTCCAGTGAAGGCTGAAATTCATGCAGTATCAAATCAAGTTACTGGAAATGAGTCATTAGAAATGTTTGGACAGAATCTAAAGTAAGCATGACATAATTTAGAAATTGATAGCTAAAATAAAAAAATACTAATAAAATGTGATGTAATCAACATAATCAAGGTGGAAGGTTGTGGTGGCAGCATCATGCTGTGGGCCAGTGGTTCTGGTCAGTTGCTCCAATTGGATGAAACAATGATGGAGGACAACCTCCAGGTTCTTCAGCTTCACCTCCAACCAGCAGCTGGATGGTTGGAACCAGTTGGTTGTTCCAGTCAGGTCAGAGTCTGCAGCAGACTGAGCTGTCAGCTGTTAGAACCAGAGAATATCTAGAAAAGGCTCCAGAATCCCCAGGAGACCCAGAGGAACCCTTCCCTCTAGGATTAGTTCATCCTCTCCGTCTCTAGATGGAGGCTGATCTGCAGGAGTGGACCCAAGGTAGTTCACTTCCTATTTCACAGGAAATCAACTGACTGCTGTGTTTTCATCTCTAACAGAAGCTTCTAGAATAAAGGTTTGATTCTTGGGGATAAATATTTACAGTTAAGAGTTCAAATCGATTTGATAGACTGAAAGAAAACCATCAGAAAGCAGAAGAACCTTCAGTTTTCCTGTTTAAAAAACTGGTGTCAGAAGAGTTCGACTACAGTTCCTATCAGTGGAAACAGATGCTGGCCCTGCAGAGAAACATTCCTCATTGAATCCTGACATCGATTTATTTGCATTTCCTTCTAAATAAAGGTCTCAGTCTTTAGAACAGCTCTGCTGCTTTTTCCTGCTATGTGTACCCAGTCTGAGCATCACTGTCGGCTGTTTCTCTGTTTGCCACTAAATGCAGAGCAATATTCAGGTTGCAGCTGGAATCAGCTGTTGGATCCCAGTAGTGTGGAAGCTGGACCTGCCACTTGCTGCATGGAAAACAGGAGACCTTCTCTCCCAGTTTCTGACCTCAGATACACTATATTGCCAAAAGTATTTGCTCACCCATCCAAATTATTGGAATCAGGTGTTCCAATCACTTCCATGGCCACAGGTGTATAAATTCAAGCACCTAGGCATGCAGACTGTTTTTACAAACATTTGTGAAAGAATGGGTCGCTCTCAGGAGCTCAGTGAATTCCAGCGTGGAACTGTGATAGGATGCCACCTGTGCAACAAATCCAGTCGTGAAATTTCCTCGCTCCTAAATATTCCACAGTCAACTGTCAGCTGTATTATAAGAAAATGGAAGTGTTTGGGAACGACAGCAACTCAGCCACGAAGTGGTAGGCCACGTAAACTGACGGAGCGGGGTCAGCGGATGCTGACGCGCATAGTGCGAAGAGGTCGCCAACTTTCTGCAGAGTCAATCACTACAGACCTCCAAACTTCATGTGGCCTTCAGATTAGCTCAAGAACAGTGCGCAGAGAGCTTCATGGAATGGGTTTCCATGGTCGAGCAGCTGCATCCAAGCCATACATCACCAAGTGCAATGCAAAGCGTCGGATGCGGTGGTGTAAAGCACGCCGCCACTGGACTCTAGAGCAGTGGAGACGCGTTCTCTGGAGTGACGAATCGCGCTTCTCCATCTGGCAATCTGATGGACGGGTCTGGGTTTGGCGGTTGCCAGGAGAACGGTACTTGTCTGACTGCATTGTGCCAAGTGTAAAGTTTGGTGGAGGGGGGATTATGGTGTGACGTTGTTTTTCAGGAGCTGGGCTTGGCCCCTTAGTTCCAGTGAAAGGAACTCTGAATGCTTCAGCATACCAAGACATTTTGGACAATTCCATGCTCCCAACTTTGTGGGAACAGTTTGGAGCTGGCCCCTTCCTCTTCCAAC